ATAACTGAATCAGAAAGGACCTTGGAGGTCTTCTAGTTCAATCCCCTGCTAAAGCTGGAGACCTTATACCATTCTGGATAAATGACTGTCCAATCTTGTCTTAAAAATCTCCAATGATGGAGCACCCAGAACTTCTGGAGGCACGTTGTTCCACTGATTGTTCTCTTGTCAGGAAATTTCTCCCTAGTTGTTCTAGATTGGATTTCTTCTTGATAAGTTTCCATCTGTTACTTCTTGTCCTGCCCTCAGGTGTTTTGGAGAATAGGTTGACTCCCCTCTTCTCTGGGACAGTTCCTCAAATATTGGAAGATTGCTATCGTGTGACCCCTACTCCTTCTCTTTGTTAGATTAAACAAAATGCCCAATTCCTGCAACCATTCATCATGTTTTAGCCTCCAGCCAACTAATCATCTTTATTGCTCTTCTCTGCACTCTTTCTAGTCTCAACATCTTTTTTGTATTGTGGTGACCAGTATTTCAAGTGTGGTCTTACCAAAGCTTTAGTATAACATACTGATGGCGGCTCCCTTACTTCCAGGTGCTGCACAATGTATTGTTTTGGATAGTTTAATACACTTCATATAGTGTATTAAGGTTAGAATCATTCAAATAATGATCATCCTGAAGGGAGTTTTTTAAAAAGGAATGGGGAGAGAGGAAAGGGTTATCAGAAAAGGAATCTTAGTAATGGCCACAATCTATCAGCTTCTGTTAATAGTAATTGTGTCAGTTCTGCTGTAATTCTATGATGGAGTTCTTCCTTACACAAAGCATGGAAATAAAATTCCCCAAAGACATCAACTGGTTATTTGTTATTCTTTCATTTGATTTTAATTTGACTAACAGAACATCCAACCTTTCTACTGTGCCATATAGTTGCAAATTGGGAATTATAGAGGTTGAATGCCACAGTCTGTAGCACACTAAGATAGGGAAGAGTGAGCCAAATAGTCTTTAGGATTTATAGTTTCACACTAAAATCTCAGTCGTCGTCCTACCCCAAGAATTTCTGTATAAGACAATGTACAGAGCATCTACAAAACAATATTCTCAAGGAATATTCTTCAGAACAATAATACCTCTTTCTCACATCTATATTGCTAGTAAATATTGTTTCACTGCCCTTCATAAATAGCATTAGGGAGACTACAGTATTATACTTCATTTATCAGGGGCACATACTAAGAATCATCAGAAAAAATCCATGGCTTCAAATGGAAATTTAATGAAAGTATTATTACTATGTAGCAAAACTGAATGGGCTATTTCCTGATTCTACTGATGTCATTCAGGTGGTGGACTTGGTTTGGCAAGTCCTCTTCCAGGGACCCCAAAGCCAATTCCGAATCTATCTGCAGTTCATTCTTACTGTTCTTGCCTTTTCTTCACCTGACTTCATGCAGCAAGTCAAGAAGAAGACTGCACTTCTTGTGTTTTACTTTGGGAAACGAGATCTGTGAACCAGAGTTATCCTTACTCCTGGTTTCTTTACTGTTAACAAAATACACTGTTGAAAATATTACAGAGAATTTTGAAATAAATAACCAAATTAAGTACTCCAGAACACTCCAGATGAATTATATCCAATCCCTGTTGCATGTTAAGTGCAATGATGGTCATTGATCTCAGCAGATATACAGTAGCAATATTTTAAAGGAAGACTATACATTGAAAGGCAACTGGAAGAGAAAGTATTGAATTAGAACAGGGGTGTCAAACTCACATTGTCATGGTGGCATCACCTGACGTCTTGAGGACTTTTTTCCCCTTTGCTAAACCAGGCATGAGCGTGGCCAGCACATGACGCATCCAGCCCATGGGCCGGGAGTTTGACAGCCCTGAATTAGAAGGTTCTCAAGTACTTTTCTGCAGCTTTTAAACCTACTATATGTTTTCACTTATTTTACCTCAGCTTCAACATTTGCATGCTGCTTAATCTTTCTAGATCCCCAGCATATGTTTCAATGCTTGACTTCCAAGGACTCATAGATCACCACCTTTAGACTAAACGTTTCTTATTCTTATTGGGATTGTGAAGCCTATTGTGACTTCTCACACAGTAACTTTTCTCACCCCCATCCCACTCATATCTGGTATTACCGTAGCATATTCCCTTTTTTGCCATATATAATAGAGCCATCCATTTTTCTAGTTTTTCAACACTGTGTCTCCTACTGACAATGAAATCTGTAGTTAATTATGCATGATGACTGTATCCAATAGTGTTAAAGAAGGTACAAGAATATTTACCTTCTTTAATAAAGTAATATTATTTATAGGAATAACCTATTGAGTTAAATGGAATTTACCTCCAAGTACATATAGCATTTCAGTTTAAATCATGAAGTACAAGATATTAAATAATATCATTTTAAATATAATTTATGAAATTAACCCAAAAATTAAAAGAAAAAAAATCAAAATTAACTTATCAAGTTTTACTGAAATAAATTTAAATCATTAGTCAACTATTCTCAATGTTTCCTGATTTGTACCCTATGACTATCATTAAGTGTTGTACTTATGATTCTTGATGAACGTATCTTTTATTTTATGTACACCGAGAGCATATGCACCAAGACAAATTCCTTGTGTGTCCAATCACACTTGGCCAATAAAAATTCTATTCTATTCTATTCTTGAAAGTTAGCATTTGAAATTTTCCTGCACTGATGCTTACCGCTCTTCTAAAAATTTTAAGGGTCATTAAAATTCTCCCCAGCTGAGTGGAAAACCATCGTTAGAATGTCTGCAGAAAGTGCAGCCAAGGTGCTATGATGCCTCAGAGCCAGTATCAGGAGCCCAGAATCTTTTTTTTCCTCAACAAAGTTGTTTGCAGATTTGCTCCCCAGTCTCATCTTCCACTCCTAGGAGATCCTTGTCCCTACTGTAAATCACACAGCCAAAACATCAAGTTCATTTGTACTAGTAGAAATTTTAATGCACAAATTAAATAAATATTTCCAACAATTTCATATTTCAATTTGTATACAGTAAACTTTTTTAAGCCCTCAAGGAGCAAGAAGAGAAAGATGTGCTGTTCCAGCAAGGTTGTTCACAGTTTTCATGCTCTTTTTTAACATACTTTTTTTCTATTGGTGTTATTTTAAATGACCCTTTGAAAATACACTTTTCCATTAAAATTTGTGACATAGAATCTTATTCCTCCGAGTTATTGACACCTTCTGAAATCCCTGTTTAGGCAGGACATATCCTTCCAGACCACTGCAGATTTGAGCATTTATCAAAATCTGTTTTGTCCAGATAAAGAACTAAACCAGGGCACAGAAAGGAAGTAGACAGCATCAGCATCTCACATAGTAATCAATTTGAAGTCTAATCAAGACAGAATGGCAAATAATGTTCCTTGGTAAATTCTGAATAAAACAGTCATGAGAATGGTGGAAAACACGAATATTGTTGCAAAGCTTGCTTGGTCAGGAAAGGTTTGTGAGAAATTAAGCCCTTTGGACATGGTATATCTCTCATGCATGATCTCCCTCGCCCTTGGTTTTAATCAAATTAGTATATAAGGGAAATGTTTACAAATTTATAAACTTATATTATTGCCTTAAAAATCCATCTTCAAATCAGAGCAGTGTATGAAAACCTAAACATAACCCTAGTAAATTATAAACCTAATAGCTATTCAGTGACAACTACCCTGTTTCCCCCAAAATAAGATATCCCCTGATAATAAGCCCAATCAGGCTTATGAGCACATGGCAATAAGGCCAAGCGCTTATTTCAGGGTTCAAAAAAATATAAGACAGGGTCTTATTTTCGGGGAAACACGGTAGCAAAATGTTTCTTGATAGTTTTCCAGCTGACATATATGTCACTTGAACCTCATGTGAATGAGGTTCACACACACAAATACCTACCCATCAGTAGCTACAGATTCAGAACAACTGATATGCTCTAACAATATGGCAACAAAAAAATAATCACAAATCAGTTCAGTTGCTAATTTTTCTCAAAGTATTTTTTGGGGAAGTTGGCTTACAAATAAAATTGCAAATGCTAGAGTGGCAAAATTGCAACACTAAGAAAAAACCTTCAAGGACTGACTTTAGGTCAGAGGTTAAAAGTTGCCAATCTGCTGGAAAGAAGGCTTCTTTTATCCTTTGGATCAGGGGTCTCCAACCTTGGCAACTTTAAGACTTGTGGACTTCAACTTCCAGAATTCCTCAGTCACCCTGGGGAGGAATTCTGGAAGTTGAAGTCCACAAGTCTTAAAGTTGCCAAGGTTGGAGACCCCTGCTTTGGATAACCTAGGGACCGAAAATTCTCTGATGGCCCTAGTATACTAGATAATTTTATTCTTATGGAATAAATTTTATAATTTTATCTTATGGAATATCCTTGGAAATGGAAATGTATTGGTGAAATATCATTCTTAACTTATCAGCACTTTACTGACAGGACAACAAATACAAAAAAAAAATCTATGTTTTTTTTTTAATGTAGACCTTTGGAAAAATGATTAGCATTGAAAGAACAAAGCAAACCAATGCCCTTAGCATCTCCTTGGGCAAGGGCAGTCACTGTGTTTTCATATTCTCTTCTCTATTACACAAAAATGAAAACGATGAACATGTCCCATCTGTGTAGGATCTAAAGACTTATTTAAACAAATTTGACTTCATGGAAGATTACCATCTGCAAGTATCAGAGACATTTCACAAACACACCAAAATAAGCCCCTAGTACAAAGAATTGGGGATGGACTCCATCCTCTTAAGTTACTTATCTTATCTGAGGTAGAAATTTGGTCCCAGGTGTATGATTTATTGAAGAGGGCATGTTCTATGCTTATGCCTAGATCAACTACCTCCTACCAATCCCTACCCAAAGTTAAAAACCAATCTAACAAAACATAATGCATGCCCCCTCCCAAAGAACTCAAAATCTTCCTAAGTGAAGAGCAACCTTCCATGAGTATTTAAACATACTGCTTTTTCTTTAAAAAAGCATTAAAGTTGGAATACAAAAATAGAGCCTCTTTTGTTTTTTTAAAAAAACACAGAACAATTATAAACAACTAAATCAAGTTTTGTTCCTCCTCTTCTTCCAATCCCCTTTTATAGTCATCGTCATAGGTAAGTCTCTAGTTATTGTCCATCAACTGAGTCTCTGCACAATGTCCTCCAGCAAAGGAAAGTGGTCCTGAGTGGGACAAGGTGAGGCAGGTCAGGGCGATGGTTTTGGGCTGGAGTTTCGAGTCCTTTTGCTCCTTCGATTGAAAGGATAATTGAGAAATTCGAAGCGTCTATGAGGCTCTGTTGTTTGGTGGCCTTTGGGCAGCCGCTTCATGAAGTGCACCTCACGCTGATGCTGACGAGTCTTGGAGCCTTTGCGGGGACGTCCCTTCCGGGTGAAGGCCATGTACCATCCTTCGTATTTTGCATTTTGTAATGCTGTGTAGTTGTTCTCCAGCACAATCTCAGTGAAGACACAATCCTTGCCTTTGCCATTGCTCTACAAGTGAAAAATAATGAATAATTTGACATCTTTCATCTTTTCCATCTCTATTGTCCTTAAAGCCTCTTTGGGCAGGTATCAACCCCACACTTAGGATAAGTCTCTTCCAATAAAACATTTTAGCTGTTTCCTGTTTCCATTTACTGTATATCCAACCTTCTATGCTCCATTATGCCAAGCAACTTTACTGAAGCAAAGGCCAGAATGATTGTGATATGGCATAATTTCATAACTGAAGAAAAATATTTTCTTCATAAATTCAGAGGGTCTATTGTAAATAGCAGTAGCTGATACAGTAACTTCAGTTTATAAGAATTATATAGAGTACTCATATATTCACTCCTATGATTATTTGTTCTTTTTATCCCTACAACTACAATGACTTTTCTTTTATTATTACCCAAATTTCTAATTTAAGTAGAAAGAGATAAACATTTTTACATACTGTTGCTTAACAAAATCACTGTGTATAATCAGAATAGCAACAGTTCTATGAATAATGATATCTGTTTATACTTCAACCACCATGTATGTAGTTAAATGTTTTAACAACTGGATTCCATAAAACCTGCAAAGCTGTATATCTGTATTACATGTCATGTTCAAACTTTTTCTCCTACTTTGTACAAAAACTAGGACTGAAATTTAGAGTCTGTTAACAATAAGGCTATTAATTTTAATGCTGGATATATTCAGTAGCACAAACACTGCAATTTTCATTTGGCTCTCTATTCAACAAACATATATTTCTAGAAATGTAAAGTTAGAGAAACTGAAAGAAGCATTTGATATGACCTTGTCATGTCTATTTTTCCCCACTTACTTCACGTTCTTACATATACATACATACATAAATTATAGTTTGTATATATCTCTTTCCTTTCATTATGTTTTATTTAATAAAGCTGCATCTAGATAGAGTGGATCTTTCCCAGCCTTAATACTTAGATTCTAAAGTGTTGCAGAAGATAGCACCTCACAGAGGGTGCCAAGTATCCTTAGCACTTATTACAAACATGGCAGACTTGGGATGCCGCTAATTAGTGTCACTTCATTTGAATGCAGCCTCATTCATTACAGATTTAAATAGGAGTGTTTGGAAACCAAACACTAACACTTTACACCAACTGGCAAATCCAGAGAGGGCCCAAAAGGAATCACTCTGATTGTGAATTTCTTGTCCTCCGCATGCAATAAATTTTCTGTCAAAAAGAAAGTAGAAACATCTAGAGTATGTATAATTACTATATGGTTTAGATATGTTCCCCTTAAAATGTCAAAGAATAATTGCCACTAGAAGAATGCAGATTCATTCAGAAGACAGAATATACCACAGCATATCCATAGTAGATTGAGTGGTGTTGTGGTTTCTGATTGACAGAAGTAGTTAGGCTCTAAGATGGACATCTCAACACAAGATTCACAATTCTGCACTCCTCTGTTGCTGATCCTTTCTAACCATAAAGAGATGGCGTATGCAAACCAAAAGTGAGGCATCTAAAAGACAACCAAATTGAAAAGGAAGTAAGAGTTATCATGGAAGACCATATATCTACTTATCTAAATCTGGGCTCGTAATTTGAATGGAAAGTTGAAGGACATCAGAAGCTTTGCTAAAAAACCAAAGCATCTTGAAGTCTAACAATATCTTTTTTAAATAAAGGGTCCCATATTCTAGTGTAGGACCATTTCAATAGGAACATGACAAGCAATTTATACCAGATATGATCCTAATCCTTCTGACTCAATACTGTCTTTGCTTACTAGTAATGTTGGCCACTTTTAAGCTAAAGCCTTATTTGGTTGACTAGAACTTAAACCTGGGATCTTGTGTTTCCAAACACAAGGCACAAACCACTGTTGAGCTACATCTCATCCATAGATGTTGGAAATATTGTGGAATGTTTTACTAAGAGTAGCAGTGGAGTCTATGGGAAGAAATGAAGAAATGGCAAGACTTAGGAATGCATTTCACTTTTATACTGTTGAGCCTTTTTCATCAGCTAATATAATACAACCTTTGCAGCATATTAGCAAATATATTTTCCTAATCTCCCTCAACTATATCATGTTACCTAAGCCTACCTCAAGGTTCTGTTCCAAAAGCCTCAGATGTCTTCCCCACAATTTTTAAAATAAAAAATTAGGGAATACATAAAATCAAAGACTGCTCTAAGAGAGAGAGCAGGAAAGAGAAAGAAAAACGTGCAAATCCAAGGGCAACATCTTTATTTTATGTTGAATGTGCAGATACAGTATGTAAACATCTCTACAGGTAGTCCTTTCCCAAGGATGCTAATTGGGACCAGAAAATCTATCCTCAAACAACATAGTCGTACCTTGAAAGAATAACTTGACTGCACCATTTAGCATTGGCAATTCCTGCAGTCCCACAATGGCCATTGTTAAGCAAAGACAGGACCACAACTTGTGACTTCCTGCTGGCTTCACCACTGACTTTGCTTATCAGATGCCAGCAGGGAAGTTACGAACTGCAATCACATGATTGCAGAGATACTATGACAGTCGAAACTTTGAGGACCAATCATAACTATTACTCATTTAGCACCACTGTAAGTTTGAAGAGTTGCTAGACAAGTAGTAGTTAAATAAGGGTCATCTGTAGTTCTTAATAAATGATATTGTTACTGCATTCAGTTCCAAATCTTCCGTACAGACACATTTTTTAAAAAAAGTACAGTAAATAAACTCTGTACAATTATTGTTTTAATTTTTAATATTGTATTTTCTGTATTTTATCTGCTGGCTGTTCACCGCCCCGTGTCCTTCGGGAGAAGGGCGGTATACAAAATAAATTATAATAATAATAATAATTATTATTATTATACAGAGACATCTATATAGGGTTTTTTGACCCTTGGTATTTGCCCATTCAAAGATATTTTCTCAATTTTCTAGTTTTGTTTAAAACCCTGGTATGTCAAAGGCAATCTCAACTATTAACAGGTCTGATCCTGTTTGATTTTTTTAGATTGCATTTCCATTGAAAAAACTAATAAGCTACAATACCATTCTTTTCTGTAGATTTCCTATGCCACTTCCTGCCTTTGAGTAAGACATACACATAAGGAATTACTTTGCAATGTTGCCATATGTCACAATTGAGGAAGAAATTAAAGTAAGATTTTATCAGAATTTTCATTTTTCAATCTAAATTCAGCAAAAATGAAAGCAACTGGTTCATTCTTTCTTAATGCAAAAAATAATGTAGATTAGGAATTTTAGATTTTTTATTAACTGCTCAAAAGTTGAGAAGGTGCAACAGGAGATCTCTGATCAAAAAGTCCTCTGGGGGTAGGGGGAAGTGAAGGGTAGGGGAAAACAGGCAGATCTCCAATGCCAAAGAAAGAAGTTTAAATTGTTTCTTTATGTAATCTGTCAGACTGAATTCTCCCACCTGCAACATATCTGAATTAGAAAAGCATAACAGGAGAAAATATTAAACCTCCCTAGAAGATCTCTCCAGGACTGGAATTGCTGTCTTTAATGTGGCTGTACATGCAGGTAGTTTCAACCATGGAAAACCTTTTCATAGTTTTCATGAGAAAAAAGAAAAATCTTGTTTTTTTTTATTGCTACTTTATTTTTTACACCTAAGAGAGAAGTCTGTGGATTTTCTGCCTCAAGTGCCAACTAACTTGGCCAGGGTTCATTCCCCTCCGCCCCACCACATGTTCTCTGGGGAAAGACTGCATTTGCTCTTCTACTTCAGGCAGTAAAATAGCTTGGTCTAGCCCCGAGGGCCAAGGCCTTCCTCAATCCTTTTCTGATGGCTGCATGGTCATGCCCAGTGTCGTCTTTAATCCCCATGGATCAGGATGCTGATGTTGTGTCTAACTCCTCAGGATTTAATCGGAAGGAACTGGCCCTACCATCAAGCAGACTGAACTAACTGCCTCAGGCAGCCTAGACTGTAAACCCTGAAGAAAAGATCTGGATGTGCCACTCAGCTTGGCCCTAACTAGACTGCTGTCAAAGTCTTTTGTAGATACTCTTCTTAAATATATTTAAGTTATTCTGATTGTTCTGAACTGTTTAATTTAATGTTTTAATAACATCTTAAGATCTGTCTTCAACTGTATTTTTGGTTTAAATGTACTTCTGTGGAGAATTAGTGGAATAAACAGCATGCAAATGCTTCATATAAATATAGAAAAAGGGGAGAATTAACAAACAGAATGCTTCGTAATACTGTGATTTAAGGTGGCATTAAACATAATAGCCTTCAGGGTGGGTAAAGTTTCTTATTAGTACACTCTGCAAATCACTATTTTTATAGCACCAAGCATAATTTTCTTTTATAGAAAAAAGATAATCTACCATTTTCAAGGTCTTCTTACAAAAGACCTTTGAGTTACAGAATTTTCATGGGCAATTCATGCAAAAATTAGCAGAAGTATCACCCCTTCAATGTTCTCATTTTAAATTCATCAGAGTACTTCTATGTTTTTAATTTAAAAAGCTCCCTGTTCTCCTTCCCTCATCATATATGTTGACTCAAAAATATGTTTCACAAATCCAGTGATATTTCATTTGGATTTCTACAAGGGTCGAGGTCACAAATTTTGTCTAGAATACAAACAATTTTGGTCTCCAGCAAGCCTGCACAGACTTAAGGTTAAAATGGTTGATCTTTTAAAATGAATAGTCTGTGGTTGAAAAAAAAAATCCTGAAGTATCATGTTTGTGATAGATCTCATCATGCAATAAGATGGCTGCAGGGTCATGTGCAGTGTCTTCCCATCCACTTATATTTTACACTGCATGTAAAACTGATGTAATTTTTTCTTGACTATTCATGACCTGTAAAATCAATGGCATAGTAAAGAGAAGCAAGAAGGGAAACAAAATGCTAAACAATTATTGGGATTATAGAAATAAGTGTTTTGTGAGTGGTCACATCTGCCATGGTGTAAACATTTTGTAAATAGTCAAGTTTATATCCCAATACCAACTATTTAGTTAGGAAATCCACTACATATTTTCATCTATCCAAATATTCCTCCAATCCAAAAAAGTCAACCACCTAGTACTGATTTAAGCCTCTTCTCTTTTCTCCACTTCTAAAAGTGTGTTTAACTGACTGCTTTAAACACTGGATTCTTGAGGTTAAGGTAAATTTGCTGTATGAAGATTTCCCAAAACAAATGAAAGTATGCAAATGAGCAAATTTCTAGCTTCAGTCACATACCCTCCTGTTCACATAAGGCTATTGTCCACTGCCTCATCAAAAACCAATTTAGCCATATTCTTACAACCTTCCCAAAAGTTTATTGTCTGTCTTCTTACCTTGCCAATCAGCTTTCCTTTTTTGTTCATGCAAATATAGAAGCCTGTCTCTGCTCCCTTGATTCTTACTCTGCTCCCAAAAGTATCAGTCTCCACAATGAGCTTAGCTGGAAAGAATAAGGCAACAGAAGAAGAAGTCAAGTTATAAGATCAACATCATATTCAAGTCCCAGAGATTTAAAAAAATGCCAAACAGAATGACATTTTTCAATTGTAGCAAGACTTACAGTACAATGAAAAGTAGTGATAGTCCATGTAATTGGGCATTCTGTACAATGACAATAGAGCCAAAAGGGACCCAGGATTGTGTGCTGTTCTTGTGATAAGGAATAAAACTTTGGAGTATGGATGTAAAATTGCTTACATTTATTTTTCAATACACAGAGCAACTTGCCTGCTGAAACTCCATCTACACCCAAATCTCATTTAAGGGTCTCCGTTTGAAGCAAAGACAAAAAGGAATATGTTTTACAGGGAACCAAGAGCTGTACTGTACATTACTTTTTCCCTATGGTAAGGGAGTCAATGAAAGAATGATACCAGTAGCACTAATATGTTTTTCCATTTGTCACCGAAAGACTGGGGAATTTTTTATCCATGAAGAATTATGTGATAATAACTTGGTTAATTTTTAAGGCATCACAAGATTATTCTTTGCATTGGTCCCTGTTGTATATACCCAGCAACAGGGAAAAAAATAATTCATTTCATTATTGTAACAGCAGACTTTTGTCCAAAAGTTAGAATAAAGAAAGCAAAAAATGTGACTATTCTAAATTGCTTATATCTTCTTAAACATAGAACTCTTAGAATTTAAGTAACCAGAGAAGAAAGGGGAGGTGTGGGGAGGAATCTGTGATGGACAGTCCTTCATGACTTCCGAATTGAAATACTATTTTTCCATTCTTCATTTGGAAAAATAACCTACACCACCATGAAATTAGCTGTTCCCATAGCAGGTCCCTATTCTGCATCAACTCTTTATGTCAAGTTACTGCAGTCATCTAGTTACCTTCCAAGGTAACATTAACACAATCTTATAGATTTTGTATACCCTGATACTGACCTTGGACAATGTTGAAATAAAGGGAAAATACTATGTTAATACTGGAACATCTAAGAAGAGATTAAGCCTGTCTATCTCATAGTCTGGAGACAAGATGAAGGCAACATCATGGGAACACAAAAAAAGAAAAAAAAATTGTCCGCACATGCTTTGCGATGTTCAGGACAAATGGTAAAAGCACAAAACATGGAGAGACAAGAAAATCAGATGTTAATACAAAATCTAGGTCAGCAATAAATAGAAAAAGAATGGTATATTCTAAAGATAATAGTATGTTCTGTTCAACAAAAATAATTTAGAATTTCTTCCTTTTTTAACAAAAAATAATTTTTATTGAGTATTTTACATTTTAAAACAAAACACACAATAGCAAACCCCCCCCAAAAAACACACACACACACATCAGACATTAAAATACAATACTAACTACAGATATATACAATTTTACAACTTTCTGCATCGACTTTTCTCTTTACTCCTAGCTTTTATCCTCCCGCTTCTTCTCTTTATTTTTAAATATTCATAATTAACTGTTTTGTTAACAGGGTCATTATTTACATTCATATCTAAAATTTCTTCCTTAATTATCTTGTCTTCATTGCATTTCTATTCTGTGTAGGCCATGAAGAACCAGAAGACAGTTTAAGACCCTTCTCCACCTTCTTCTCTCCTTGTATGGTTGCTGATTTTGCAGAGAAAAGCTGACCTCTTAATGCATTTCATCTTTGTGAGAGTTGAGAGGGTATATTGATTTAATCTCAGTTTTTTAATGGGCATTGATTGACTTATGGAGCTGCTATGCAAATTACAGATCAATAGCTTGTCCTTTCTTCTTGTTTTGCATAAACCCCAAGTTTTAGAGCCAGCTTTCCTCCAAGAACTATCTCAGCACTCCAACTCTGCACAATATTATTGTGTCTGAAAGAAATAAAGGATTCTATGTGGAACTTTTATTACGGGTTCAGGGTGCCCAAAATTTCTATGAAGAACTGGACTTCTTACTTGCCATTTCTGATCATAAAATGATGATATATCTCTAAATTGCATCCCACTCTTCTTTTTTCTGATACTTGAGCCATTGCAGACAAGGGATTGTGCTGACAAAGGGCAAATTCTAAAACTTTATAATAATATTCACACTAGTGATTGGAATTCATCATATTTTGTACAGATAAAACAACTCTTATTCTATGGTCCATATTTGATCCTTTCTCTTACCGTCCCCCACCCCATTCTATCAAGGACCTGTTTTTAATATGAAATAGACAACCCATTGGGTCATGGCTTCAGAGATATTTCCTCACCTAAACAGGAAAACAGAATAACCAAGAGCATCAGAAAACCTTCCTTCTCTCCTACCCTCTGCTCCCCTCCCCTGTCCTTTTCCCTTTTCAGCAGGCAGGTAAGTGGCTGCTGCTGGGTGAGCAAGGGAGCAAGGAATTATGAGATTGACTGGGAAATTGTCATGGAACATTGACAATTAAGATCACATGACTACAGCAGTAACCTAGCAGCGCAGCAACAGCCAGTAGCACTGAAGTAGCCACAACTTTTCCAAATTTCATTCCCTCACAGTCGTGGTCTCAGATTTTGGATGCATTCTGTAAGTTAGTTCATCTGAGGTACCTTGCTTCAAAAATTGTTGCCTTACGATACACCATTTCATTCAGTAAAGGTCATGACAACAAAAGATTTAGTAATATATAGATATAAAAAGTTCTATGTTGCTTCTTCTAAAATTCCCAAATATTCTCACCTGTAATTCCTACAAATTTGTATTCCTAGCCATTATGAGTAAGGGTTGGGATGAGTCCATAGAAGGTATTCATTCACTTTTGGTATGACCCGTCCTCTACAGGAGTTCAGAGGACATGAGATTGTGACAAACCGCAGCTTGCTTAGGCTAGAACATGCCATATTCATATTTAAAGCATAATATATGTTAGGAATCGAAAAGATGTACACAGAACTACAATTAGGAACAACAGTGCTGAACAAGAGTTTCAGTATAGGTAGCCTTCAACCATATCTCTTGCCATAACCATGACAACTAAAACCAAAGGAAGTTGCAATCCAAATATCTGGAGACCAAGTTACCTATCGCCTACCAAAAGGGACCTAGAATGTTGCTGCAGTAAAAAAAAAAACCCTTTTGTGCATCACGCTTGATCCTGAATTTGCACCCATTAATGCAAATCCTACTTCACTGAGACTGTGCTAATCACACTAGGGCAAATATAAACACAAACATGCTCAGCCAACCAGATGATTGGTTTTATGGCACTTCAGCCTTTGCAGAATAGTTATCTGCAAGGTCCTTTCAAAAGCAGTAGTAGACTATTCACCTGTAATGAATTTTAGGGAAAGAGAGGAATAGCAACGGAGATAAGCCACAATGTTTTCCATAATACTCATTGTTGTCCCTACCGTCTTTTTTGTATTTTACTTTTTAGACTGGATATCAAAGCACTACAGTGAAAAACCAGGCTGGTGGACTTGCAGAACAGCTGGAATTATACCAGCTCAGTGTAAAGTTTGGACAGCCTCATTATTTTACCCCAAATACTACATTCAGCTGAAGTCTTCAAAATAAAAAACTATTTCCAACAGTGGCACGAGAATAAAAGTACAAATTAAGGGCGAACATACGAGCATAAGAGAAACTGCACAAATTGTTTAACCCTGGTTTATTAATTCTCCTAATGATCTTTCCCTCCCTTCCATCTTTTAAAGTCATCATTTTTTAAATCAGTTTCCAATACAAGACATACTTCTGTATGAGAGGAAGAATAAAATTATTAAAACTGCACTGCAAAAATATAGTAAACACTGAATGATTTTTTTTAAAAAAGAGTCTCTCGGCTGCCATGTCAGCATCATCCACAATTTTGTAGTTCTGATAGCCATTTGGAAGAATTTATGAGTTCTGGAGGATTAATCTCTGTCTTCTCTCCAATAATCTTGCAATCTCTTTTTAACACAGGTTGAGTCATCCATAGCCATATTGTTTCACTCGCCATCATGATGTTTGGGAACAGTGGGAGGAACTGTTCTTTTTTAACCAATCATTATAATAGACAGCCACACTTTCCAACCACAATTGTTCTGCTTACAGAAGAAAAAGTCTTTGCCCAATTAAATACATTTGGACCACAGCTCCCAGAATTCCCAACCACTATGAGTAACTTCTAGGAATTTTGAGTGTACGAGGAATGCTAGATTGGGAGGGATACCTTGTCTTCCTAGCAACAATAAATTACCACATCAATTTAAATATCACATCAGTTATTCTATGAATTCTGAAGATGTGATAGGCTTGCCTCAAGCAGAGGAAAAAATATCCCTTTGCAACAAGGAAGAGTGCATATTTGATAAATAATCAAGTAATTGTCAGGCCCAGCCTAATGATATGCCTTCTCCATAAACAACAAACATTTCAAGGAGGAGTTAGTTAGTTCTTTCAGTCTCTTTTTAAAAATAACTTCTGTCTTGCCTTCTTGAACCTACGCCATGCAACAAGCTAAGCACAAACCATTTCCTATTCTCTTTTCTCAGGTAGGAGAAAGAGGGAGAGATTACATGGGATTATCATTTTAGTGCCCAAGCTACTATGTTAATACTGAAACAACCTCTACAACTTCTGTGTCTAGGAAAACTCTATACCTTTGTCAAGTCTTGGATTTTATTCACTTTCTTCATCTTGCAGCTTGCAATGCAAGAACTTGTTATTTACTGCATCAGTTGTTCCCAAGTCCACATACAAACCCTGCAATGTGAGTTGCCCAGAAACTGCCCCTCTACTGGGCTAAATAAATAAACTAATGGAAGCCAAGATACTGTTATCATCAAGTCAAGGCTGGCACAATAACTTTAGGAGTATCCTGAATTAATGGAAGCTTGCTATTACTAGAAGCTGGTTATAAAACTTTTTGGGATATGTTATTTCACAGCTTTCTATAGTTCATCCCAAATCTGCCCCTTCCATTTTTATGCCACAGAGATGGACAACACATGACTTACCTGTAGCTCTTTTTTATTGAACTCTTGAACTCCTTCCCCCCTACAGTTCCAATGCCAATGTTCATCTGAGAAATGCCACATAACAGTCCAAATAAACTGATTGGTTTATTAAGTCCAATTTGATGAGATATTGTTTTATTTCTTTAATGTTTTACTTCAAAAATACAGACTCTCCAAAATGAGATGAATTCCATTCTTCTCTGGCACAATCCATGCATTGTCATGAGGGCCATAACCTGTGACTCCCAACAGCCAAAGTGAAAAAGCGATTCCAGTCACAAAGAAGACCATGTCTTTTACAGAGCAAAGTTTGTGGGCTATAACTGAACTTTCTCCAGATCCCCCTTAGGAACTTGCCACATCTTCTAGAGACATCCAACTATTGTGGAGTCACTAAAGAGATAATGTGGTGGCTGGGTGATGCGAGAAGATGCTACAAGTCACCAGTGTGAAAATATTTTAAATATAGGCATGTCTCTTTTGGGATTAAAACCCCATTCTTGGAATGATGGTGGCTACTATAAGGTCTTATTACTTTGTGCAAGCAGCAGTTTTTCCAATAAAATAAAAAGAACATTGATGGTTTGCCAACAATGAATTCATCCAAAATATTACAAATACCATTATTAAAATCTTAAACAGCCTTCTCACCACTAGAATGGGGCATAAAACAGATCAGGTAGGGAGTCCCTTTAAGGTTCCAAACAATCTATGGTCTGTATGGTCTTTCCTTTCCCTATCCAAGTGATCTATATGTTTTTCTGAAGAAATATAGTTTGTTCTATAATAAAAATACATTATTCTACTCTTATCCTAATTAAAGCATAGCCACAATTACTGCTGGGTCAGATCAAGTCTGTCTAGAACAGAATTACATTTCCCATAATGGTAAGACAAATCTAATAACATAATATTTAATAATAATGCAGAAACAGCTCACTTGAAATTTTTCAATAGCATTTTTTTTCTTTTACAAGAGCCTTCTGTTTTTCTTATTCATTGCCCAGATTCTTGAGAACTTCTTTCAAAATAAATCATATTTTTTTAAAATAATATTCTTATTGGAAATGGATGCTACTAGTAGAAGCATGCAGGGCATTTTCTGCATGGCACCAGTTCATCCACTGAAATGGACACCTATTTTTCCATAAACCTAATGAATCCTTTTTAAAGCCTTTTGCTGTTTGAAACTGTGTTAAGACCAGTTCTTTTCCCTGGGTGAATGCTGAGCTGTATATGGATTACACTACTGTAGCCTTCTCCACACCGGCTTTGGACTTCACCAACTATAATCCCCAGGTTGAAAACTGCTAAATTCCAGCATCACATCACTTCTTCTTCTAACCTATTATGAGCCCTTTAACTTTATTGCTTTTTTTTTGTCTATAAAATATTAACATCTGTAACCTCCTCCTTGCCCAAGGACAATTGGACCCCTGACTCCTTTTCATTGAACTGCATAGACAAGGTTCCCTTATTTATCTCTCTTTGGGGGACACGAGTAAGGGAGGTCGATCAAGAGAGCAGTTAACATTTAAAGAGCATCAGTTTTCATGCTCTTCCTCTGCTGACTGGTGGAAAGGCATAGAAAAGCAGCCCCAAACACAGGCAGAACACCACATGCTTTTTTCCTCTTCTACCTTTTCAAAGGCCTTTTTCTGATTTATTGCCTGTTGGTCAGCTTTACCACACGAGCCTCTTCAGGGACTCACCCTCTAACACTGAATTGCTGCTGCCTTGACAAACTCAACTCCATTGCTTTGGCACAGAGATACAGACTGAAAGCAGAGCAGAAAATGTCAGAGAGAAAACGATAACCTGCCTGCAAGAAGCCAAACAAGCAAAATGCCAATTCCAATCTTTAAAATAATAATAAGACATACAAAAGTTGTATGTTTTATTATTATTTCTGAGCGTGCAAAATTTCCTAAAAGGCACATTTGAAAACAAAAGCAACAATTATCATTCATTTCTAACGCTACTTCCTCTCATAATGATGTAGTGATTCAAAGCCAGATTACAGATTGCTGTACAAGACAGAAGAACACCAAGCTTTAAGATCCATAGGCTTCACTCCTAATTAGAAAACTGAGTCAGTTATTGACAATCAAGACAGATAACCAAGAAAAATGGACCTGACCTTAAATCAGCTATTAAAATGTCCCAGCAGAGAAAATGGCCATTGGTGGAAATAAATCACTTTTTTGAGAAAGAGAGAGAGAGAGAGAGAGAGAGAGAGAGAGAGAGAGAGAGAGAGAGAAAGAAAGAAAGAAAGAAAGAAAGAAAGAAAGAAAAAGAAAAACAATAACTAAAAAGCAAAGCAAAACAACTTGAAGTATAACATAAGACATGTAGGGTGTGAAAAGTTGGTTTTGTTAGTGAAGGGGTGAAAGCTTAACAGTTCCAACTCTATTCTTTCCCTTCAGTGACAGATTTATCCCAGTAAAAATTATGTTTCATGCTCAAACTTTGAAAGGAAAGTGGCTACGTAGATGCAGAAAAAATGCAGCGAGGCACACTTGATCCCCTAACTGGACTGCGAAGAGGAGAAAGTATTCAGGAAATGTTTAAAAAGGTGAAAGTAAGAAGACTTTTAATAGCTCTTCCAGACATGGGGGTCTCTCCAGAGATTCATATAGAACAATCCTGAACCTCTATTTTAACATTTACAGACTTGCAATTCTCCTAAAACCTTACATCTGAAAAACTGCTTGTGTTCTTTCTTTTTAAATCACTGCTGAGTTTGCTTCTTGTGCTTCAAATGCTTAACCGTTTTAATAGAAATATTTTCTTTTTCAAATCATTCATTCCTATGTGTTATAATGCTGTTATTTAAACATTAAGTAACTTTTTAGAGAATGGCATATTTAAAGAAGGGATGTATGCTTTTTCCTTTATTTAGAATCAAACTATATTGCGTATTTCAGTTATGGCTGGGACAGTTTCCTTGAAAGCTAAGTTGCATACTGTATACACATGCAAACTTTGCCCTCACTATCGGTGCCTGCTAAAAATGTTAATAAAATCTTCAGCCAGTTTAAATATAAGCAAGCTTGCCTGATTTTCAGATAATTGTTTGATGTGAGAGGGGAAAATTGTGGCTAATGTGAGAGGTCAATAATTGTAGTCATCATACATAAATTGTAGCAATATGGAGATTCAATACTAGGATGTGCATTACAGACCACAAATTGAAGACAATGCAATTATGGAGCATCTCATTTAATATTATACAGTTTTCATAAGCATAATTAAAGTTAGAAAGGAGAACATGGACTTATGATTTATTTATTTTTTGGATGAACTGAACATAACTGATCATTTGTAAAAACTAAGTCTCATTTAAAACTTTACAGCCAGTCTTCTATTCTCACATATATTTTTCTTTGGGAAAGATATTTTGTGCATGCTAAAAGCTTATTTCCCTTAGCTGAAGGCAAGTTTTGCCTGTGATTCTAGAAAAGCTGGGGTTAACATCACAATATGCTCACAGTTTCCTTATTTCTGCTGCACTGTTAGGCTGGAACGTACTGCAAGGAGACACCTATTCTCCCAGTCCCGTGATTTTAATTCTTAAAATCTGCAACTCATCCCACTATTTCCGTGGTCAGTGATCAGGTGTAAAATCCAGCCCAATCTCCTCCACAGAAGCTCCGACTCAATCCGCAAAGGGAAAGCATTATACTGTTATTACAAATATTGATCCCCACATTCTTCCGTCAGAAGCTTTCTGCATTCCAAATGCTTGTAATGATTTCTGGCAAACAAAGGGGACGGAAATCATCAATTACTGGGCTGCATGCATGCCCTCCCCACCCCCCACTCTCCCAATGTTCCTGCCCACGCAGACAGACTTACCATGAGCATCTCCATCTTCTGCCATAGCATTGATTTTCTTGTTGTCCAGGATTTGAACATGCTTCCCGCTGGTTCGACTGTATAGCTGATAGGTCCGGACGAGTCTCCGGCTTAGTTGGTCGGTCACCAGGCTCTGCTCCCTCACATGCTGTGTAAAATTAGGTGGGGACTGAACAGTTACCTTTAGGAAATTAAAAAATATACAACACACCATTATAATCTCTACTCCTCTGAGAGAGGCTATCTTGGTGTGATCCTGGTGTATCTGGAAAGGGCACCAAGTTGGTGCAGTGTAGAGTTGAGACTCTTATGCATTGATATAGTGCAGGCCAGGATTCTAGCAGTGGCTGAAAAGTTATTGGGCTGCCCAGGAATTTATCACTGGGAAACAAACGTGCAAGAGGGAAAATAAAGATGAGCCTGGCTCAGAATCGAGCACTAACATGGCTCTCCTTTGGTTTCAGAGATGTGTCTAGACTTATGCAGATTTAAACTAGAGTCTCAATCCTGTTTGTGACATTTTAAATCAAGGAAGACTCAACAAGACAAACAAAAATACAAACGAATATGCCCCATCATTCACAACCATATCATGCAAGACACACTAAATCCTGTACTGGCCTAAATACAATCACTTGGAATATAATGCATCCTACTTGCCTGGAAATCAGGCTTTCAATTCCTGGATTTGTTTCTATTGCTTGGCTTTCCAGCTATTTCAACTGGTCCATCTGAGAGTTTTGTCCTGTGGCTCCGTGCCCTGGACCAGAGTGATTGGTGGTTGGGGGTGGGAATGGGATGGAGATAGCTGTATTTTATCCCCTTCAACAGTGATCGGTTGTGTCAGCAGTCCAGGCAGTTAAGACTTGTCTCTCACTAATATTTATGAGGCCCTTCCATACAGAGAAGCTTGCCGTGGTTTCCCCACGCCCGCATTCAAAGTTATTGTGAGCCTGTTAGCTGAAGGTTCAGCGACGGCGATTTGAGCTCCAACCACAACCATGCAGTTGGGCTTTGCCACGGGGGCCCCGTGTCTGTTTCCCCTCCTCTCTCGGGCTGCTCTTCTTCCACCCCCAATATGTCACCAGTTCCCCTTTTAAGTCTGAAGGGTTTTAGTTTGCCCCTGACATTTATAAAGACGTATTCTGAGCAAATGTTGAGGAGATTTGTTCCTTTCAACTTCATGGGGTGGCAGTGCATGAAAAAAGCCTCGCTCCTCACTGCCTCCCCGCCCATCTTCAGCCCCATATCAGCTACTAAAGTTGTCCAAAAGATACAGGGAAGCAACCTCTTCCTGAAAGATAGACTTTATAGAAGTCTTCCCTTGATCGTGTATCTCTCTTATCCTTTGTGTGTGTTGTGTGTGCGTGTGTGCGCACGCACAAACAGAGGGATGCATGGGTTTCCTACTGGCATTTCTTTCCATAACATCTCTGGATTGCTCTGCCTGCTCTAATGAGTAGACCATGTGGCCAACCATAATACTCTTTGATTTCCATCTCATGTCCCCAAATATTACAATACGGTGAGCCTACAATCCCTTTACACTCACATCCGCTGAATTCGATTTGTTTACTCAGCTTTATAGGGGATCATTCCAAATTTAATTCAGAATCCTACACCTGTTCTCTTGCAGGGGAATGTTTCTGCAAGCATTTGGCTTTAACTCTCTGGACTTGCAATCAATACTACACCAAAAGGGTTATAAATTCTAGAGTATCAGACTGTGTTGTTCCATATGTTAATGAGGTTTCTAATTTCTAGGAAGCAAGAATAAGGTCTTTCCTATAATTAATGTATATCTCTTAAGTATAATTTTAAAAAATCATAATAATGGAAGGAATGTGTTCTTATTTAAGTCTGGAAATTGGATGGAAAAAAAGATTTAAATAGATCATCACTAATTTTCCATCGGGATTCTTCAACACTTACAATTGGGGAGTTCAGCGTACATCTATTCTTACTTCAACTCAATCGTTCCCACATTTTGCATTTTATTCTCTACTCCCCACACTTAGTTAGTCTCTTAATCATAGGGACTCCTTTTATTACATCAGTTTTTTTTTTAAAGGGGGGAATAAAGAGGGAAAAGAAGAAATCTGGGCTCTATCCGTATAATAAAAAAACATCGCAACTATTTAGAAAGGATTAAAACAATTCCTTACCTGTGCCTGCAAGCAGAAAGCAAACAAGTGCAGTAGCCTAGAATAATGGAAAAGGGGGAGTGGAGGGGAAAACAAAGTAGATGGTGAGATGAATTTTGCCATTGAAATGGAGCAGAAATAAAGATGGAAAATCGAGGAGACTATTTCGGGGAGGGGAAGGGAAACCGAAATCGGTCCATAAGCGGCAAGACTCAATACTTACAAATAGCTGAATATGGAAGAGAAGAGATTCATCCTGAGAGATTTTTTTTTTTACGCGGGGACTTGATTGGCTCCGGGCGCAGAAGAAGCAGGCGCTGCGGGCCCGGGTGGTTTTCTTGGTTTGCTTTGGCTCAGGTTAACCGGCGGGAGTCCGGAGCAGCGCTTGGGGTGCGAGGAGGCTCTCGGTTTCTCTCCGCGGGCGTCTTTTCCTTTCGCCAGGCGCTGCTCTGGCCGGGCCGGCTCAACCTCCTGGTCAGGGCGAGGGACTCCCTGGGCGCTCCCAGCCCATCCCTCGAGGAGGGTCCCGCAGCCGAGCGGCAGAGAATCAGCCCGAGGTTGCCCTGCCGGCTCGGCGCGCCCGAGGCTGTCAGAAGGCTCCGGGGCCAAGCGGAGAGGACAGGCTCGGCTGACAGCTCCGCGCCAGGAGCAGGAGAGGCCGGCGTTTCGAGGCTGGCGGCTGCGGAGCTCGGAAGGGGAGGCAGGCAGGCAGGCACTCGGCCCGGTGGGTGTGCGCTCCACTCTCGGAGCGCCCGAGGGGCAGTACGCACCAGCCCGGCCCTGGTCCCTCCTCTTGTGTGCTGCTCGCCAATGTGCCAGCCCCTTCTCATCTGTCCGGGGATGTCCCTAGACCCGCGTCCTCCCCACCTCTCTCCCCCACCCAACATAGACCGTCCCCCATCCACCCCTCGACGGGACCAGCCCAGCAGCGCTTGAAAGCATCCCGCTGGCCGAGATGCGCTGGCTTCTCCCTCCCTCCCACCCACCCACCCAGGGGTGAAATCCAGCAGGTTCTGACAGTTTCTGGAGAACCGGTAGCGGAAATTTTGAATAGTTCGGAGAATCAGCAAATACCACCTCTGGCTAGCCCCAGAGTGGGGTGGGAATGGGGATTTTGCAGTATCCTTCCCCCAGGAGTGGGGAGGGAATAGGGATTTTGCAGTAACCTTCCCCCAGGAATGGGGAGGGAATGGGAATTTTGCAATATCCTTCCCCTGCCACGCCCACCAAGCCACGCCCCCAGAACCGGTAGTAAAAAAATTTGGATTTCACCACTGCACCCACCCCCAACTTCGCTCCCCCCGCAGCTTGGCCGAAGGGGAGGCTGCTTGCAAATGCCCCGCGTGTTTCTGGGCCATGCGCGGTTCATGGCCTTGGTGCAGAAAGAGGCTACGGACACGCTTTGGGTCCCCTACTTTGCCCACGAGCAGTATTTCTGCCTACCGGTGTAACACCTGCAGCCCTCACGAGAAGGCACGGAAAGAGTTTGAGGCTGGTGGCCCTTTTTAAGTAGCTAGGTGTGTAGAAGCTGCTGGGATTTCCCGCTGAAAGTACTGAGCGCACCGCAGTAAAACTCCAGCGCTCCTTTCTGCCCAACGTTTGCGCGCGCGTGTAACGTCTGGCAAGTCTGGCCGGGCATCTGCTTTGCTTGACCGGTTGGAAAAATGGGCAATAATCCAGCGGTTTGGGAGAAAAGATGAGTAAAAAAGGGAGACCAGGCCATACAGAAATCCCCGGGAAAATACTTCTGATTTTCCAAAGAGCGACTGAATATTTAGCATTCCGTCCATTTACATCCGACGCTGGCAGAGAAATTCCTCAAAGCAACGGGATCCTTTTAGCATTAAACCTTACATATAAAGCCGGATAGCTCAGATATATGAACATGCATGCCACTGCCCACGCATTATATACCTGATTAATCAACAGCGCTTTGTTCACAGTTAGCATGTGTGAAGCAAAATCAAATCCCTACAAAGATCAGTAATGGCTTCCTCACCCTAGGACTACATAGAGGAACACAAACCTACACACAGAGAGAGATACACAACGCTGCCCTTCAGCCCTGCTTGATTTTAATGGTGTGGTACAGCTATAAGACACCTGAAACCATTCAGTGCTTCTCAGTCAGGGCAGACCAAACAATGCCTAAGTTACAGAGGAAAAGAAGCGGGGAGGAGAATGGAGGCTGAGCTTCCATACCAGTTTGAACCCTCTTGCATTTCAGAAATTAATCGCTTTGAAGATTAAAATACAATAAGAATGGTGAAACTGAAGCTCCTGTCCACCTTTTCTAACTGGACAGAAAATATATATATAAAATGGGGAGCAAGTGAAGCAAACTGAATTTCCTTGGCTCAAAAGCAGCTTGAAATTACCAGCAGCAAAATAATTTATTAGATAATAGTTAGGAAAAAGAAAAGAAAAGAATTGAATTTGAGGACTTCATACACCTTCTACATTCATACATAATGCTAAGCCAGGATTTAAAAATGGATCAGGGCAAAACAAGTTCTTGAACAAGTTCTTGAACATAGTGGCTTGGTTTACTCATAATGCTAAGCCATAGATTGGATTCATACATCATACTGAGTCAAAAGCAAATAAACTACAATATGGTTTTGTACAATATGTGAATTGATTCAATATAAAATGTCTTAATTTCATTACTGCAAGATGCAGCTATCTTTCAATTTCTGAATAGCGGTCCAGAAATTGAAAGTCCGCAAGGAAAGATGTCCTCTGAAGAAGACCAAGTGTTGGGAACAAATGACCGGAGAGATATATGGAAGCTCTCTGAGCAACTGAAGTAACAAATGACCAGTTGAGGCACCCCTTAAAGCAGGCGTATCACACAGAGGCAACTTTTCGCTTGGTGGACTTCAAAACCCAGAATTCCTGAGCCAGCTTTGCTGGCTGGGAAATTTTGGGAGTTGAAGTCCACCGGCTTAAAGTTGCCAAGGTTGGACACCCCTGCCTTAAAGCATATGACTCAGAAGACTGTTCTCATTTTCTTAGGTGACAAAGCAAAGAGAAGGGGGTCTATCTTCCTCCCAATACATGTTGTCTTCTCCAACAGATGATCTCCAACAGATATGCAGTTAGGAAGTCTAGGAGCTGTAGTTCCACAAACTGAAGTTTGCCAAGCTTGTCCAGACTTCATAAAGCAAGTGGGTGAGCAACCTGCAACGACAACTCTCAGAGCTCCTTCTGTCCTCGAGTACTGAAAACTGAACTCCCCTTATGTTCAAGAAATAAATGAAAACAGTTGTAAGTACCCAAAGTTAAAAAAAAGAAAGAAAACACCCCAAACTCACCTGTAAACAGAGGTGGGTTTCAACAGGTTCTGACCAATTCTGGAGAACTGGTAGCGGAAATTTTGAGTAGTTCGGAGAACCGGTAGTAAAAATTCTGACTGGCCCCACCCCCATCTATTTTCTGCCTCCCAAGTCCCAGCTGATCGGGAGGAAATGTGGATTTTGCAGTAACTTTCCCCTGGATTGGGGAGAGAATGGAGATTTTACAGTATCCTTCCCCTGCCATGCCCACCAAGCCACGCCCACTAAGCCATGCCACGCCCATCAAGCCACACCCATAGAACTGGTAGTAAAAAAGTTTGAAACCCACCACTGCCTGTAAATCCAGCTCTGCCCACACCTGTAATGTGGTCCCTCACAATTTGAAAATCTTACACAAAAATCCAACAATATTGACCCTATCACAATAAAAACAAAGCAACCTCAAAGAGCAGAACATTTTACAGTATAACTAAAAAACACAAAGACATGCCAGAAGAAGCTTATGAAAATGAAAATGTTTGTTTATACTTAACCTAGTATCACCACCTCAAGCTCCTACCCAGCTCCTACCCAGAGGAAACCCTTATTAGCTGATTCTTTAAAAGAGGAGGCTTTATGTAGGAACCCCATCAATTTTGTGGTTCCAGGTTGTTTACAGCCAAAAGATGGGATGTAATGTAGATCAGTGGCCCCCAACCTTTTGGGCACCATGGATGGGTTCTGTGGAGAGAGATTTTTCCTCAGACCGGAGGGGTTGTGGTTTCACATGCTGCCTGCATCCCGCAGATGGGGCTTCGCTTGTTTGCGTGGCCTGGTTTCTGGCATGCTGTGGACCGGTGCTGGTTTATGGACCGAGGGTTGGGTACCCCTGATGTAGATGATTCCATTGCTGTTGGACAATAGGTCTGGTCAATCTGAAGCACTGGTCATGCTGGCTGAAGCTGATAAGAATTGGAATCCAAAAATATCTGACTATAGGTTCCCTACCCCTTTTGTTTAAAGCTGAAATAATTCAATTACTTCCAGACACTGATGCAACCGGTAACTTATCATCTCCCTGCCTCCCCACTCCTCTACCTTTACATAGCCATGCACATTATTTTGGAATATACATCATTTAATTATGGGAAGAAATCAAGGGTGAAATCCAGCAGGTTCTGACAGGTTCTGGAGAACTAGTAGCAGAAATTTTGAGTAGTTTGGGGAACCGGCAAATAGTACCACTGGCTGGCCCCAGAGTGGGGTGGGAATGGAAATTTTGCAATATCCTTCCCCCAGGAGTGGGGTGGGAATGGAGATTTTGCAGTATCCTTCCCCTGCCACACCCACT